GTTTTTTAACTGTGTTTGCTTTTCTACTTCAAGCCTAGAGCTGTTTCTGTTTAACACTTGGCTTAAGACTTTTCCCAGGTAATTCAACATTTTAATTTTAGATGCAGCACTCTTCATTCTTGCTATATCTTCTAGAACAAACTTTTGCCAAATGCTTTATAGAAATTAAAGATGATTATGTTTTGCCCAATTGCTGTTTGTCTACAAGAACATGAACACATTTTCCTCCCAACTAATAAGACTTTGAATGTCATTAATGCACTTATAAGAAAGATGTGGTACTAAACCTGGTCTGGTGCAGACACTTTCTTGGCTGTCCAAGGATCACAGTCCTGGTACCTGGAATATAAGGCGAGCCCACAGATCACAGAGCAGATGAGGATTGCCCAGAGTCCCAGAAGATTGATATAGAGAGACCTAAAGAAGGGAAAACAAACCAGCAAATGACAACTGTGATTTCTATCCCCAAAATTAGGAAACTTGTTGCATGAACAGAAGAGACCTTCATGATTAAACTCAATAAATGCATATTACCTTTTGGTTATCAAAAACTCTACTTATTTAATTCTAGTCTATTCTGCTGCTTATGATGTCAATCAACAATGTATTTGGAAATATCTGGAATAGATGGGGTTTTCCCAGTGACTTAGTGTATCCTCCTGGTTGGAATTCCATGGGCATTGTTAGCTTTATAATGGTACCTAATTATACTACAGGTCTTCTTGTCATGAACTAAGGTTTTTAATAGTAAACAAAAATAACTATTACTCATTTTCCCTTTTAAAGTAATGCAATTATGAACTGCTGAACATTGTTAGCATTTACACAGCAACTCACCAAACTTGTTTAAATGTGGTTTGTAAGATAACACATTACATATGAAAGGCAAATCTGCATTTCCTGCACGGGTTCCTTATAATATACTGTGGATACCTCCATAGAGTGCAAAGATTTGGTAATAGCACCAGAGTCAGACCTGAGCATAAATCCTCGCTCTGCCATATGTGACCCCGGGCAAATAATTTAGCCTCTCTGATCTTCAGTTTCTTCATTAACACCTAGAGATAACAATGTCTATGTCACAGAGTTATAAGACTAAATGGAATAGTATATATCATATAGCACAGTGCTTGGCATGTAATAATTATACTATAGGTCTTCTTGTTATGAAATAAGGTTTTTAATAGAAACAACAATAACTATTACTATTAGCTAATAGTAATGATAATTACTATTATCAACAAGTGTAATAAACACTTGTCAAATAGTAGTTATTGACATTATTAGTGTCAGTGTCATTAAATGCTGTGTCTTAACAATCAGTTGAGTACTAAATATTTCTCTCACTAAGGTGGCTACATATTTTTTTCCAACGGTGCTGTAGTGGACACTGATGAACTGCCCTAGGCTGAAGAGTGGTACCACTCCCAAAGTCATGCATCCTTCCCTGGGGACAGCTTGCATCCAATGACTAGTGGATTGAGAAGTTTAAAGGCCCAGGCCTCTCACCCTGACGTGGGACAAGTCTGAAGAGTCATCCCAGCTCTGGAGCTACCCCTGAGGCCTCTGTTGAGGCTGCACTGCAGTCTAACATCTTCCTCTGGTCAATCTTGCTTCCTTCTCTTCCCTTCTCCAAGTGTTGATTCCCCAATAAACTCTTGCATGCTAGCCTCCACCTCAGAGTCTGCTTCTGGGAGAACGCACCATGCAACAGGTGCCAAATAACAGATGGTGAGTCTTTTCCCTTGAATTGACTAACTTTGCTGTATGTTTTGCTATTGTCTAAAAATAGTGTAACTACATCTCATCTTCAAATCATCAGAAAATTATGCCCACACACTCTCATGCTCAAAACCTCCCCTTGCTTCTATCTGAGTTTAAAACTGTTAAAACTACATTGTTTTATTTTGCTTTAATGCCATTCATATTGATCACTTATCAACATCTGATACTGTCCCTTGTCAATGTCAGTAGGTCTCGGCTTCTGGCAGGGATCCATTCTTCACATAGCACCAGTATTAGAAAGCGGATGAAGTGGTTCCCCTGGGTTCAAGGAGTCTGCCTTATTGAGGAGACCTATTGGGCTATTCTTAAGGGAGTTGATTCCTATTAAGAAAACTCTAATGCTGTTCTTTTATAAAACTGGGTTTTTTGAGTTTCATGTTCCCTGAGAAACAGAAGAGCTTGTACACAATTACTTTGGGAAAAGTGTCAGCTGTAGCATAGATTTGAAAGTCCAGTAGACTATTGTATAGGTAAATTACATTCCTTCAAAATTCCTTAAAATACCAGAACTCCTAAATTCACTTTTGGGGGATTCCATATCCAGCTATTACACCCATCTTCATACAGACTGTTCATTGTAGACTTTTCCAAAGACTTAGATAATTTCTAAACCAATTAACTCTCAATATATTGAGCTCTGAATGTGACATCACAATATTTTCATGTTCTCCTTTGAACAGAAATAGAATTACCACTGCTCCCACCCCAACCACCCTGTACTCTTACTTGATCTATTTAGGATTTTTAAGACCCTGAATGCATGTGGGCAGAGTCAGTCTTATTTATCAGCACAGGGAGTGGTCGTCTGAGGCCTGAGGGCTCCAGAGAAAGAACCAGCCACCATCCCATACTCTTTGTTCAAATCATGATGGGCTGGAGAGTCCCTGACCGTGCTGTCCTTCCTACCTATGTGCTTTTATCCAACTCACTCTGCCCACCTGGAATGCCTTCCCACTCTTTTCTCCACCTGCTTGAATTATGATCACTGTTCATACTCATTCTGCCAGGTCGATAGGAATCTCCCGCCCACCATCTGCATTCACGTCACATCAGTTGAAGTGGAAAAAGGACTTGACATTTACTGGACCTTACCACGTGTGTGCCAAACACCGTATTTTACAATATCCTCCCAGGAGAATTACATATTTCTTCTGCTCAATTTACAAGTTTAGAAACTGAGGCTCATAGACACTAAGTAATTTGCTCAGATCACTCAAGTAGGAAATATTAGAGTAGGGTTATAAAATCATAATTGTGTCTAAAAATAAAATGCAAGGCACTATATATACTGAGGAACATTTTCTCTATTGTTCTACTGTTTCATAGAGTTATATTTCTGTAGTATTATTTTACTTTTCACATATTTGCATATATTTGC